CCAGGTTTTCACACATTCTGAATTGGGCGTCGGTGTTATGCATTCCTACATCAGGTACTCCGATGCATTTTATTTAAATAATTGAACATTTTAAAATTTGCTCGTTTAACTGAATATTCTAATGTTGATTATGTTTTTTTTAGGCTCTTGTATGACAAGTTGTTGGTCCCGAATGATTTGACTTCAATATTCGCATTCTTATCTGCTAGCTGTATCAACTCACGGACAATAGACCAGACACCAGATGCAGTCAAAGAGTACACAGTCCAGAGATTTATGGGTGCGACTACGGAGAAGTTGTTCTTGTTGCCATACAATACTGGCCATGGGTTAGATTTTATTATAAATTTATTTATTATAATTGTTCGATTTTTTCCATTCTATATAACATTTCCGTCTAAACTGTTGTCTTATTTTATAGTAGACATTGTTTGTTGGTCGCGATTAATCCGATGAAAGAAATAGTCTATTATATAGATTCATTGGATGGCGATATAAATAAATATGAAAATCTGAAGAACATGGTTGATACGTAAGTGATGAGATATACTATTCTGAATAATTATATATCTTTATTTATTATGTGACATTGTTCTAAATATGCGTTTATATTATGTTAGAGTTATACAAATATTCAGAGCACAAAGAGATGCAACAGTGCGAAAAAACAAGACTAACAACATCATTTGGATCAGAGTAGAGGTATATTTTCCCATGTTTGACTGTTATAGTGGTTCTACTTGATCAAACTATTTAAACTATATATCCTGATAAATGTTCGTTTGTTTTTTCCATTTACAGTGTCCTCGTCAGTGCAATGGGATTGACTGCGGATATTTTGTATTGCGCTTTATGAAGGAAATTATTCTTTTCTGGTCAAATTGAGATTCCAATCATGGTATGGATCAATTCATAAGTTATATGATTCATTTTGATAATTAACCGATATTTCATCTGAGTAATTAGTTTTAAAATTAAATCGTGCATGTTCTGTTATATTATGTAGTATTTTGATGAATTCAAGTGCAGTACTTACTCGAAGGCAAGATTGGAAGAAATTAAGGAGGAATGGTGTCAATTTATTCTTGAGTTGAGAATTGTATAATTGTATAAGTCGTATCTATTTGTAAATTTAACGGATTTGTAATTATATGTAAATTGACTGTATTTGTGATGTTGTAATTCTGAGGATCGGATTGTGTTCTAATATATTTAAGCATGTTTATGTGTATTAAAATTATTATGGGCAAAGTGATGAATTACAATGTATATATACTTAAAGGTCAAAGTGTTGAATTGTGTATATAAGGCCAAAGTGTTGAAATAAAGGGCTGAATTATATAAGCAGGGAATGTAATATAAGCAGGTTTATTGAAAAATATATAAAAAATGTGATTATCCAAAATTTTTTTTTCAAATCGTGCATATTAGACAGCGCTTTTATGTATAAGCGCTGCTAAAGGAGACAGAGAGAGTGCTTTAAAGCGCTGCTATAGGTGGGGAAAGGGGGGGGGGGGGTCTAAGAAAGCGCTTTAAAAAAGCGCTGCTAAAAGGGGGGGGGTCTAAGAAAGCGTTTTTAAAAAGTGTTGCTAAAGGGGGTGTCTAAGAAAGTGCTTTCTAAAAGCGCTGCTAAAGGGGGGGGGGGGGGGGGGAGGGGGAATAGGCAGCGCTGCTAAAGGGGTAAAAAAGCGCTGCTAAATGTGCTGCTAAAGAGAGCCTTTAGCAGCGCTTTTTCCATAAAAAAAGCGCTGCCTTTACCTTTAGCAGCGCCACTTTAGGCAGCGCTGCTAAAGGCCAAAAAAAGCGCTGCTAAAGGTCCTTTTTGGTATAGTGATGTTGGAACTAAAATTGATCAAAGAACAATAGTTGCGAGATACAACGATATACTTGAGTTTTTGGTTCAGGAAAGGATGAATAAAGCTCAAGTTAGTATGTGTCGTACCATAATTTTATCTCAAACATTTCATTCATTATTTGGGAATTTTATTCACTGCATCTGGTCATATCACATTTTAGTATAATGCATTATTCATTTAATCGTCGCATTTGTATATTTCAAAAACAAAAATTGACTTTTACTAAAGAACAAAAATTCGACATTCGGTCCATTTGAATATTTAATTAATTTCATGTGCATTACTTTAAATTATTTCATTTCATTCATTATACAAATGCGACGTAAGAATCTATAGAGATTTTAAGCCTGTTTTTTCCATGACTCCTCTTAATTGATACATTAAATCCAATGCTTGGCGTAAGAATCACTTTGATTTTAGTATACATATTGAGTTCAGTTGAGGAGATCATACTGAAAAAAGATTTTCTTTTTCAATTCATTTATATATGATACCTAGGCTTCAAGAGGGGGAGATGTAAGAAAAATTACCAACTTAACCCTTAGTCCAAACATTATATTTGGTTATTTACTAAAATTGCCTTTTGAGGGAGAAGGTTGGATTGTTAGTATGGACGATTTGGAAGATATAATTGGGGGACATGTATGGTTGGGTTCCATTTGTATATTTGGTAGGATCTGGCATATGTTAACCAAACCCTTTGGATGGGCTTGACGAGCACTAGTATGGTTTGGAGAAGCTTACTTATCTTATAGTTTAGGTGCTTTAGCCGTTTTTGTTTTGTTGTATAGCTTGTTACTTTGTCTGGTTTAATAATACTACTTATCCTAGTGAGTTTTAGGGTCCCACTAGACCAGAAGCTTCTTAAGCTCAAGCATTTACTTTTCTATTTAGAGACCAACGTCTTGGAGCTAATGTAGGCTCTGCTCAAGGGCCTACCAGTTTAGGTAAATATATAATGCATTCTCCGATCGGAGAAGTCATTTTCGGAGGAGAAACTATGTGTTTTTGGGATCTGCGTGCTTCCTGGTTAGAACCTCTAAGAGGTCCTAATGGGTTGGACTTGAGTAGACTAAAAAAAGATATACAACATTCGCAAGAACGTCGTTCTGTAAAATATATGACTCAGGCTCTTTAAATTTTGTGGGTGGCATAGCTATAGAGATTAATGCAGTCAAGTATAAAGATTAATGCAGTCAAGTATGTCTCTCCAAGAAGCTCTTTAAATTTTGTGGGTGGCATAGCTATAGGATTCTTTCAATTTGTAGGTCATTTATGGCACGCAGGAAGAGCTCGGGCAGCTGCCGCAGGATTTGAAAAAGGAATCTATAGAGATTTTAAGCCTGTTTTTTCCATGACTCCTCTTAATTGAGACATGAAATCCAATGCTTGGCGTAAGAATCACTTTGATTTTAGTATACATATTGAGTTCAGTTGAAGAGATCATACTGAAAAAAGATTTTCTTTTTTAATTCATTTATATTTAATATGTTTTTAGGCTCAACTATATCACAACTTAGCTGAGCCCGAAAAAACCGAGCCAACCTAAATCAATCAAATACAAAAATTCCATACGCCAAGAAAAATGAAAGAGGGGGATTTGAACCCTTGATAGTTCTTTGTTCCGAACTATACCGATTTTCAAGACCGAAGCTATCAACCACTCATCCATCTCTCCAAAAGCTAATTTATATTTTATCATTATTTCACTCAAGAGAACATGAGCATACAAATTAATACCCTTTTATCTATCTATGATTAAGATGTCTAATGTGAGTCAATTGGTCTAGTTCTCTATCTGTAGATATTATATATGCATGATCCAACATGCTCTTTTGTGAAGTAAGAAAAACCATCCCTCGATCCATTTTTCAATATGGAGTGTCATTTAAAATCAATGGACAAAAAACAAAATGACCCCTCCCCCTGAATTCTTTCGGGTTGTGAGGCACATGAAAATGGAATATATAAGACCCCACCAAGAGGAACAGTTCCTCAAACTCTAAGAATTTCTTTAAAATACTTTTTTCTGGAATACTATTCAAGAAAATTTCGGATTCTTTCGTATTCCACCAATTAGTAATCCAAAATTTAGGATGCTTTCATTTTTCCATTTTCCGTCCTCAATTTCAACTTATCTTTCAACTCTATATATTCTATATATAATAATAATTTTCTATCAGACTTAAATTCTATTACAAGTAAATATGCTTTTATCTCATGACCAATACACTTTTTCCCTTGGTGGAACTTTACCCGATGGAAAAAGTTGCGAGTTTTCATGACACATTTCGTTGCTTCGCATATGAAACCGATGTGAAATCCTTTTTCAACCAAGGTAAAAGGGGTGTTTTGTAGTAGGGTGTCAAGAGAAAAGAATCACGTTAGAAGGTGTCCAACTATCCCAAATATGGAAAGGGAAAAATTACCTATGGAGGATGAGTGATTTGAGTAAATAGAAGAAATCAAAAGAAAATGATAAACAGAGGACATCGAGAAAGTATCATTCCTCATAAACTTCCAAATCCATTTATCTATGTCTAAAGAAAAAATATAACCAAGAGAAATTTAACAATATATTTCTCGTGAACGAAAAAATGTCTCTTAAGTCTCAAACGAGGGTCTCATAAATCCCCCTACCCACCTCTCCCACACTCCCCTCGATCACTATTTGATTTTTAATTTTTTTCAATTTAAAAGATAGAGAAAAATATAATTTTAATTGAATAAATTGATAATAACAATTATTTGTTAAAATTAATATGTTATAACCACCACTATCTTTAATAAGCATTATGAGAGAATTGTAATCATCACATTTTTATATAAAGTTTTGTAATGCTAAGTTGTAAACAAGAAAAAAAATATGTATTGAATTCAATAAAATCGGAGTATTTTAAAGACTAACCTCCACAAGTGAAAATTCAGAACGTGACAAAAAAAAATTTTTTTTTATTCTAAATTTTATAAAAATATATTTTATCATATACCACCTCTATAATACCACAACATTATTTTACATTTAGAAGAATTCAAACCTAACATGTTTAATATTGAACTAACACCTTGTTTATTTCTATAATGACAATGACTCTTATATCTTCTAAATTTCAAATACAAAATTAGATAGTACTAGCTGAACCCTCAAATTAAGCGATCCACATATTTTGGAAGAACTTCAGCCAGAAGCTTTCTGTATACATTTTCTGTAGGATGATAGCTATCCCAAAACACATATTCTGAATTATCAGCACAAGTGGGAGTCAAAGGGTTACATAATATTGAAACTTCTAGTTTGCCTGTTCCACAACAACCTCTATCTGCAACTTTATAACCTGCACCTCATCAATTATATATACTTATTAAATAAATAAATAATTTAAAATAATTTAACTAAATTAATTAATCATGAATAATTTACCATATTTTTTAGGATTTATAATGATATCAAGTAGGGGAGCGTATATGTCAATATAAACAACCCTACTTTTATGCAAATTAGAACGAAGATAATCCATTTGCTTTGAGAGTTTGGAGTTAAATAACTTGGATGCTTCATTGTATTTCTCATTGATATTTCTAAATACACCTCCACCTAATGTCCTCTGTGATGGTAAGTATCAAATAGGTGCTGCACTGAACACTCCAATTCTTCTTGACCATAAGGAGGGAAATTGCACTTGACCATTGTTTTGATTTGGTTGTTATTTCCAGTATCCATTATCGAATCTCCAAAAGCTATGATTGCAGGAACTGTAACATTTGGTGCAAGTTTCACCAATGAGTTTGTTCTATATGATAAAGCTAACAAAAATATGAAACGTAATAGTATTAATCTAGTTGATGAATAAGTACTTGGAACCTTCATCATATACACAACCATTTTAGAAAGAGATAACTATTTTGCATGTACTCTGCGTAAATTTATACATCCACAAAACTGGTTAGTCATTTATTGCATGAGAACACTGATATACAACTGTTTATTTATTTTCATATGACGTGTAAAAAAGGTTATGCCTATTAGTAATAATTCATATTTTATTATATTATTTTCTTAAGCCCATAAGTTTGTTAGAGGGTATTTCAGTATTTTATCTTATTCTAGTAACCCTAGTTTTAGCCTATAAATAGGGTGACAATCATTGTAACTCTTAATCCTGTTTTCTTCTGCCGTCATTCTTAATAGAATATTTCTACCTTTCATCATTTATTCTACCTTTGCACCAACAATTGGTATCTAGAGCTCCGGTTCGGATTCATTGGAAAACACGGGAAACACGAGTGAACGTGAGGTCTTGTGTGTTTGATTTTGATTCTTAGATTCGTGTTGAATCTTGAACAAAATCGGATCAGAATTTTAATTCTATGGGTTGGGAAACACTGTGTGAGAAACATTGAGTGTATTGTGCAAGGTGAAGATGAACGGAAACGGCAACATGAACACCAAGCTTCCAGTATTTGACGGTAAAAACTGGAATCGTTGGATGATCCAAATGCGTGTACTATTTGGTGCTCAAGATGTTCTAGATCTTGTCACTGATGGTTATGTTCCAGTAGCAGCAGATGCAATAGATGAACAGAAAAACGCGCAGAAGGAAGTAAGGAAGAAAGATCAGAAAGCATTATTCTTTATTCATCAATGTGTTGATGTAAATGTGTTTGAGAAGATTGCAGATTCAACGACAGCAAAGGTTGCGTGGGACACACTGGTGAGATGTTATGGTGGTGACGCATCAGTGAAGAAGGTGAAGCTTCAGTCCTTGAGAAAGCAATATGAGAATCTCAACATGAAGAATAATGAGAAAGTTTCTGAATACATCTCCAGAGTGATTCTGATCACTAATGAGATGAAGGCGTGTGGAGAAACTCTTTCTGAAGAAACAATCATGGAGAAGGTATTGAGATCCCTTACCTCTCAATTTGATTACATTGTGGTAGCAATAGAACATTCCAAAGATCTGAGTACCATGAGAATTGAAGAGCTGCAGAGCAGTTTAGAAGCGCAAGAGTTGCGTTTGACTGAAAGAACTTCTGAAAGGGAAGTAGAGCAGCAGACTCTGAAAGCAACTTCTGATAGGAGGTATCAGAAGCAGTCAGAAGCCAAGAGAAGATCTGATGGTGGTCAAAAGTCAGAAACCTCAACCTCTGATAGACAAAAGAATGCTCAGAAGGGAAAAGAGAAGTATGACAAGAAGAAGATCCAATGCTACTGTTGTAAGAAGTTTGGCCATTTTGCTAGAGATTGTTGGTCAAACAAGGAGAAGAAATCAGAAGAAGCAAATATAGCCAGAAGTTCTGATGACGAATCTGTGCTATTGATGGCCTCTGAATCTGATGATCTGATAGACTGGTGGTATATGGACACTGGTTGTTCAAATCATCTTACTGGAAACAAGAAATGGCTGGTTGACTTTGACTCTGAAAAGAGAACAAAGATCAGATGTGCTGATGACAAATATCTTAATGCAGAAGGTATGGGAAATGTCAGAGTGACTCTGAACAATGGGAAAACAGCATTGATTCAGAACGTGTGGTATGTACCTGGCATCAGAAGCAATCTGATGAGTGTGGGACAATTAATTGAGAAAGGTTTTTCAGTTACCATGAAGGACAATCTTCTGAAGTTGTATGACTGCAATCAGAAGTTGATTATGGAGTCAGAACAGGGAAGGAATAGAACATTCAAGGTGAATGTCAGAACTGCAGACTCAGAATGTCTTAGTGCAACATGTGCTGAGAAGGAGAGTGAGCTGTGGCACAGAAGATTTGGTCATTTGAATTTCAGAAGCTTAAAACATCTGAATTCAAAGAAGCTGGTACATGGAATTCCTGCAATTAAGAAGCCTGAAAAGTCATGCAAAGTTTGCATGGAAGGAAAACAACCAAGATTGTCATTTGCATCAGAAGTTGTTCCAAGAGCAAAACATGCCTTGGGAGTTGTACATTCTGATGTGTGTGGTCCATTTCCAGTAGCATCAATTGGAGGGAATAAATACTTTGTGTTATTTGTTGATGAATTCACAAGAATGACATGGGTATCCCTTATTAAATTCAAACATGAGGTGTTTGATGAATTCAAGAAGTTCAGAATGAAGGCTGAGAATCAGAGTGGTCAGAAGTTGAAGATTCTTAGAACTGATGGTGGAGGTGAGTATAACTCCAAAGAGTTCCAGAAGTTCTGTGAGGAGAATGGAATTGAGCATGAGGTTACTGCTCCTTATACCCCTCAACACAATGGTCTTGCTGAAAGAAGAAACCGTACTTTGCTTGATATGGTGAGAAGCATGCTAAAGGAGAAGAAGCTTCCTCAGAAGCTCTGGGGAGAAGCTGTTGCCACTGCAACGTATGTACTCAACAGATGTCCTACGAAGAAGTTGAAGGAAATAGTTCCAATACAGAAGTGGACTGGAGATAAGCAAAGTGTTAGTCATCTTAAGGTATTTGGTTCTATTTGCTATAAACATGTTCCAGAAGCCAGAAGACAGAAGCTGGATGATAGAAGCAAAGTGATGATTCTGATAGGGTACCACAGTACAGGTGCATACAAGCTCTATTGTCCAGAAACCAATAAAATTGAATTCAGCAGAGATGTGATTGTGAAGGAATCAGAAGTTTGGAATTGGGATAAGTCTCAATCTGATTCTGATGTTAGAACCTCTGAAGAAAGGCCAGAGTTAAGAATTTCTGAAGTTGAAGTAAACCCTGATATTGACTCTGACTCTGATACTGATTCAAACTCTGAAGAAGACTCAGAAGATGAAGGTGACCCAGATGACCCAGACTCTGATAATTCAGACTCTGATGGCAATCCAGATCTTGGTGGCAATTCAGACTCTAGAAATATGCCAGACTCTGAAGATGGTCAAAGCTCTGGAGGTCAATCATCTGAAGCTAGAAACTCTGAAGCTCAAGACTCTGAACAAGTTCAGAGACCACAAAGAATCAGAAGCGTTCCCAGAAGATTTGCAGAATTTGACATGCTGCAAGACACTGAAGTAGACTCTGAAGGAGAAGTTATTCAGTGTGCCATGATGGTAGACTCTGAACCCATAAGTACAGAAGAGGCTTTTAAGCAGAAGCTCTGGCTGAAGGCCATGAAAGAAGAACTTGATGCTATAGAGAGAAACAAGACTTGGAAGCTGACAGAACTTCCAAAAGACAAGAAAGCCATCAGCGTCAGATGGGTTTTCAAGCAGAAGTTAAAGCCAGATGGCTCAATTGGCAAACATAAAGCAAGGTTGGTAGCCAGAGGATTTCTACAGAAACCTGGGCTGGATTATTCTGAAGTGTTTGCACCTGTAGCAAGACATGAAACAATCAGAATGGTGATTGCAATAGCTGCTAACAGGAATTGGCCTCTGATGCATTTAGATGTAAAATCTGCATTTCTGAATGGTCCATTAGAAGAAGAAGTTTACGTGTCACAACCTCCTGGATTTGTGAAAAAGAATCAGGAAGGGATGGTGTACAGGTTATACAAAGCTCTATATGGATTGAAACAAGCGCCCAGAGCTTGGAATCAGAAGATTGATTCATTTTTCAAGAAGCAAGGCTTTCAGAAATGTGAGATGGAGTACGGTGTCTATGTTCAGCATACTTCTGAAGGCAATATGACTCTGGTATGTTTATATGTTGATGATATACTATTGACTGGAAGTTCTGAACAGGAGATAGCCAAGTTCAAGAAGGTTCTAATGAATGAATTTGAAATGACTGATCTAGGCAAAATGACATACTTTCTAGGGACGGAGTTCAGATATTCTGAGAAAGGTATCATTTTGCATCAGCTCAAGTATGAATTAGAACTTCTGAAGAGATTTGATCTGAAGAATTGTAAGATGGCTGTCACACCTTCTGATACAAATCAGAAACTGGATTCAGACTCTGAAGGAAAGGATGTGGATGCTACAACCTTCAAACAGTTGGTTGGTTCTCTGAGGTATCTGTGCAATACCAGACCTGATATTTGCTACTCTGTTGGGATGGTTAGTAGGTTCATGAGTAAACCTAAGTGGTCCCATTATCAAGCTGCTGTCAGGATTCTGAGGTATATCAAAGGAACTCTGAAGTATGGAGTGTTATTTCCCTCTGGAGGAAATAATGAGTCAGAACTTCTGAGTTATTCAGACTCTGATTGGTGTGGAGACAGAGTTGACAGAAGAAGTACATCTGGGTACTTGTTCAAATTTCTGGGAGGTTCCATTTCTTGGTGTTCCAAGAAGCAACCTGTTGTGGCGTTGTCAACCTGTGAAGCTGAATACATTGCAGGTGCTGTTACTGCATGCCAAGCTGTGTGGATTCTGAATCTGTTGCAGGATCTGAAGATTAAGGTAGACAAACCTCTGAAGTTGATGATTGACAACAAGTCTGCAATCAATCTTGCCAGAAACCCAGTGCTGCATGGGAGAAGCAAGCATATTGAGACCAAGTATCATTTTCTGAGACATCAAGTTCAGAGTGGAGTGTTAGAAGTTGTACACTGCAGCACTCAGAAGCAGTTGGCAGATGTTCTGACGAAAGCTATCAAGACTGATCAATTTCTCAGATTAAGGGATGGAATTGGTGTTACAAGTTTTGATGGAATATGAATTAAGGGATGGTATTAGTAATAATTCATATTTTATTATATTATTTTCTTAAGCCCATAAGTTTGTTAGAGGGTATTTCAGTATTTTATCTTATTCTAGTAACCCTAGTTTTAGCCTATAAATAGGGTGACAATCATTGTAACTCTTAATCCTGTTTTCTTCTGCCGTCATTCTTAATAGAATATTTCTACCTTTCATCATTTATTCTACCTTTGCACCAACAATTCCTGTGTTATTTGCGATGCATGGCCGGTCCTAAATCCAGATAAAAAAGCGGATTGTGTTAGGCGGT